TTTATTAGTTAAAAAAGTTTCAAAAATCCAATAGATTTCGTTCCACTTCACAATTGTGTCCCACTTGTTGGTGATTCTTCACATAAAATAAAAAAATTATATCTTTATGTTTGAAGCCTGAAATGTGGCAAAAGGTTGAAAAGTTCAAGGGGGCCGAATACTTTCGCAAGGCACTGTACTCTAGTAGCCCTTGTGTCCAGCATTCTTCCATTCCAGTTTAAACCAGTTCTGTATGTCCACCTTATAAAATTCAGCATCATCAGCAGAAAAACTACAGTATGTGCAAGACTATGAACATGAAGTTCACTGAGTCCCTCTCAACATCTGTAGCCTCATTTATTTAAGACTGTTGTTTGTAATGTTTTACAGTACTATGTCCCTAATTAGACAGTTTTAGCAATCATGCACATACAGTATAGTATGTGGTCATTCGGAATTACAGTCTTGTAAGATGTAAGAAATCATGTTTTTCTTCTAGTTGCATGATTTCTGAACTACAGATATATTTGCTTGTAGTTAGGATTTCCTAAATCTTGAGTCTTTCCTAATGTATAGATGGTCTTGGTGTTCTTATGCTGAGTTGTTAATAGCAGGAGCATAATTAAAGAGGCTGGCTTAAGAGGAATAATTAGCTTTGTGCTTGCTTAGCAAGTTCATAATTTTGAGCCCCATTAAATACCCACTAAAGGTTGCAAGTGTTACTGGAAGGCAGTGATTGGCTTTACAGTAAATTTTGAAATAATTAGGAAAACTATTAACAGCATGAAGTCATTACCTCGTAGCAAGTACTGTTTACTTTGTATCAGTGTAAATAGAAGACAAAGGCTTTGAACTCCTTGGAAGTCCAGTTAGCCAGAGAAGCAGTTTCTCTTGTTAAGAAACCATTCACTATAATTGTGCACCTATTAAGGGTTACAAAAGCAGGGTTTGCAGTAAGTGCTGTAACAGCCTGCTAAAGTTCTTTATTATTAAATAAATTTTGAAATCTGGGGGCATTAGTCAAGTATCACTGGTTAAAAAAATGACTCCCACTCAAACAGGCACAAACCATTCCACAGGCATTCACAAACAATGTATCCAAATGTACTTAAAGCAGAAATGTGTTTCTGTAGTACAGCTGTAAGATACATCAGGAGAAAGAACGGTCAACCTTTGACTAATGTTTAGGCATTAAGAACTGTAATTTATTAACATTTGAAACACAGTTGTGCAAATGGAGTGGCATATTTCATTGAATTGGCTGCTTCTATAAACATTTCGAGGATTGTCCTTCTAGACTCATTTGTGCAGTGTACAGAGTTTAAATGACATGCATAGTGTACTATTGAGTCCTGCCTTCCCGGGTTTAGTTGACAATTGTCAATCCTTAAGGATTTAAGGGTTTTTTAAAGTATTTATATACAGTATATATTGAGTTATTGATATTGACAATTAACAATACCAGCAATGATAATGTTTGGCATTACAACAATTATAAATAGAAATTTGCTTTTTACCACACTTAACTGACAACAAAAGATTCATACAAGATCTTATGAGACCTTTAAACTACATTATTTTGAGGTAGACATTTTATTTGATAAGACACTCCGACAGTCTTGCAGAAGAAGAAACTGTAGTTTGCTTGTGGATAATATAGTCTACTTAGCAGCATGAACCTCCCACCAGCCGAGGCTCTGCATATGGACAGCAATTAAATCCCTCTCTGAGGCAATAAAGAGACACCAGTGAGTTTTTGCAGCCAGTCTAAGTCTCTAATTATCTGTGAAGGATTTCCTTCCAGTGCCGACATTAAATGCCTGGTGACTGAAGGAAGAATTAAATATGACCTTGGTGTGGGACTCGCTTCAAGTACTGGAGAAACAAACTTTCTCTTTATTATTATTACATCTATTTTACAGAATGTTATTGCAGATTAGCATAACCTTGACAGAATAAACATTGTGCAGGCTTTCTGCTTAGCCTTCAAATAACCAATGCGACTTTGTCCACATTACAATTCTACACTACATCTCTCTTTAGCACAGGTGCAGATTGATTTTATTCAATTCCATAAACATGTTTTGTTTGCTATTTCAGTTGATATTTTAGTTGATCATTCATTTATATCTGGTCTAAAATAAGCATGTTAAACTGCAATCTGAAATAGATTTAAATTCAGAGTTTTTATACAGTAGATCTGCAAGATTTTAGGTTTAATAAATTCAATAAAGTTTTATAATATTAGTAGAAGTTGTGTAGTGTAACACAAATGTATTTTTTTAAAATAATTCTTTCAGAACATGTATAGCAGAGTGAATTCACTTGTTAATGATGGGTATGGTGTACTGTAGCCTTAGAGAGTGTATTGAAGCTGAAGACTAATTCACTTGACAGATGTTACAGCTCTAGCTTTCCTAGGAGGCTTCTGGAGTATAGAATCAATGTGACTCTTAAAGGCCTGTATTAAAGGAGGGTGTAAAGTAACGGTATGACACATCTTGTAGCGGCTAATTAAAATCTACTCCACAAGCGGGACCCTGCCCTGCCACGTTTTGTTAAGATTTGGAGTTTATTGACTCCATTAGTTCTTTAATGCTGACTTTTAAATAACCCACTGCTTAGGATATGGAAAAAAAAGCTATGTTCATATACTGTGTATACATATTTTATTTACAGTATATTTTGAATTCTACTTGTTCTCCTCTTTCATGCACATTCTTTATTTAAATATCAACAATTAAAAGCTGAGAATGATTCATGTGTGGTTTTACAGTGTGTAAAACAAAAGAAATAGGTCTAATTCTAGCTGCCCTGTGGGCTAATCTATTTTGCAAAACAAAATCTGCAATGTGAAAGAGTGTTGGTACACTGTATACAGTATATAGAGTCTTGAGTTTGTGTGTATTTATCCCTATTATTCAAAATTTTGAATTATGAAATGCTGAAAGTTAAAATTATTGTGATGTTATGTAATACTTTATTTTAGTTGACATGCAGTGAAGTGTTTGTGGTTTTACAGTAGTCATGGACAAGTGCGACTGTCTTGTAAAATCTGTTTTTATGTAAGCATAATACCATCACATTCCAGGTTGTAGGCATTAGTTTCAGAGATTTGCGGTAATAATACCCCTGTAATTTAATATATGCACACAAAGGTTAAAACTCCGTTTCACACAAAATGACAAAACACACTTTGGTCCAGCACTCAGATTATTAGGCCACAACCTTTTGAAAATAAAATTAGATTACCGGACATCCATCTGAAGGGTAAGAGAGGAATCTCTTTTTAATTTTAATCGCTCAATTGGCTTAGTCACCTTTATTAACTTTTGAAGGATACACAGATACACATATTGAGGGTTGTATATAATTTAATATTTTTAAATTCCTGTCATTGAAATAAGTTCATATCATATAAATCTCATAGAGGTAGCCTAGAAATTAAAAGAAGTTGCCTGTAAAGACATCTGAGTAAAAATGTTATTTCATGAACAGCAGAATGTTTTCAAATGAGAGTAGGGCATTTGGCCCACCTTGCCTGTTTGGTAGTTGATAGCTTCTTGATCCAAGGATCTCATTCATTTTCACAAAGGAAGTTGGTTTCAGCAATGTGGCCGAGTGGCTTGTTTCATCCAAAGGCCTTTGGGCAGTAAAGTACCTCCTGTTTTATAATTTTAGATGCATTTTCCAGGTAGTTTGCTCTTGGGCCCTCTGGTTCTGTTTTGCTGTTGTTTCTGAAGAGGTACAGTACACTGTAGGAGGAGGAACTGTAGCCAGGGAGACAATGAGCAGAGACTGTTTCCTGAGAATCCGGTGGGTTGTGCGTCCACCACATTTCAGGTTCTGACTCCCCCATGTAAAAATGTTAAGCTTATTGAGCTTGAATGGTTTTGCACAATATACATACTGTATGTACAAAGGTTTAGTAGAACAGCTGTCAGGAGGTGAAAAACAATCCGTTTTGCCATGGATTTACGTGTAACCTTGACAAGAATGGAAAGACATGATTTATTTTTGTTCATCTCATGGATGCCTTTGTATTTAATGGATTTTTGTTCCCAAAGATACAATAACTTGTAGTTAAATTTATTATTGATGTGATCTCTTGCGCTAAGGGAGGAAAAATAAAAACTGGATTTTTAACCAGCTCCTGGCTGAAATTTCTTACCCTTGACACCTCGAGATTGATATATACTAATACACAAAAAAATCTACAACAACAGTGTAGATTTTACATCAATAACTCATCAAGCACATACACAAATACACTTTAAATAGTGTGCAGATAGATTTCTTGATGGTTTGAGCTCCATTGTCCCATAGGATAATGCAATGCAGAGCTCAAGCAATGAATTTAATAGGAACTACAAAAGGTGCTCAGAGTATATGGGGAGAATTAAAACTGACAAAGAGGGTTCATTTTGTATGCATAACTGTTCAAAAAGACTGTATTGATTAACACAAGAAAAGTTCAATACAGTATATGACTAAACTCCGCTTTGAAGTCTTGCTTCTAGATTAAAGGTGGCCTGTCTGTAAGATGTGTTGCTCAGAGAATGAGATATTTTGTCACAGTCAACAGATAAGTTGACTGTGAGAACCGAAGAAGGCATCTACGGCTGAAATGTTGCATTTTTTTTCTTCTCTTTTCAACATGGAATAAACCTTTCCTTGTTCCTCTTCAACAGATGCGTACCAAAAAATCAGGAAACTGACTCCGAGGGACAAGTCCCATTTCGGAAGGCAAGATCATGAGAATTTCCAGGAGAAGTAACCTATTATGTGCATCATCAGAGTTGCTTTCCGTTTGCATGGAAATGATATGCATGCACTGAGGTTGTACAGAGTTAACATGGTGACAGCTGAGACTCAAAATTGTCACCATCGATAGGCCAGGGATCATCTTAGGTAGTAGCAGATAGAGCAGTGGAGTACTTTTTTCACTGATTATTGCCATTTTGTCCTTAGTATACATGATGAGAAACAGTGTACAGTATATCAGAGATGTTTTGGTGAGCAATAGATTGATCATTGCTTTGTTCAAGCCGGTTGGTGGGGGACTGGAAGTGTGATGATTTAAGGAAGAAACTCCTTAAATACAAAAATGCATTTTTTATTGAGGGAATCCTTAATGTTCTGTGATACATAGATGAAGCCAACAGTTTTTTCCTTTCCTGCAAACACCCCACAGTAATCTGTCCAGAGGCTGATCAAGTCAATGCATCTTTGCTGCCAGGATCTTCCATAACCCCTGAAGTTAATACCACAATGTACTGTACCTACAGTAAATAGTACATTACAAATGTTATATTTGTAAGGCTTTCATTTTAGCAGTGTTCTTTTTTTATTTTAGAATGTGTCATGGTGATGTAATCTGTGGTTTTGTTCAGCCCGCTGCCTTGCAACCTTTGTGCAAGGTAGTGCTTTCTGATTTCAATCATTCTGATTCCATCTGGGTCACTGGATCCTAGTTTCACTGTGGGTCCTAAAGTCCTAAAGTCCTCTTGGATGACTTTGTGAATACCTTCAGGATTTAAATACTTTTAGAAAGTTCCCTCAAAGTCCTCTGTTTAAGACTGAAGAGAGAATTATTTTAACCTGTAATACATTTTTCTAAGGGCAGAAATTATCCATGTTGCCCTAAAGCGATTCTGCATTAGGAATCAAAACTAAACACAATACATTACATAATTATCATTGCATTGTACGATTTAAACAAAACATGCTGTCTTGAATTCAGCTCATTCTCCAAATATGGTACATCTGATTGTTTTTGTATAAATAGGAGTGGTTTACTTCCCCCCTAATACTCTAGAAATAAAACTGTGCATAGGCAGCTTGGCTTAATGTAATTGTGTAATTTGGCAATTTACTGTATGATCAGCAATATTATAGTTACTTTTAATTATATTATTAAGATGCAGCTTATTGGACATTTCCAATCAAGGTGAGGGATTCAGCAACTCTGAGAATCAAAGTGAAACATGAACTTTCCTTGAGGTACTGTGGTAATATAGATGAAACATGATCATAAATAACTACTACTGATCACAGATATCACCGTCTACTGTGTTTTCAAAGTACCTCATCAAACCTCATCACCATAGCTGGCAAGTGCCTGATGAACTGATACAATAAACTAGAAATCGCAAACACAAAGCTCTAAAAGCACATGTGATGTGTGAAAATATCTTTGCTACATGTACTTTATATAAAAGAAAAATAATAATTCCTAATTATCTTGACTCGTTTTTACCTATGAGTATATGAAGATAGTCCTCTGTGATTTTTTTCCCCCTCCATTTAATATACTTTGCCTCGATATACTCATTTAATATAACACTTTTCTGCATAAAGTCACACTTCATGGTTGGTGCTTAGGAATTTTACGTTTTCATCCACAGGTTCTGGTGGCAAACCTGGTTTGCATAGTTTCTCCAAATTTGCAGAGACGCCTTTGGGAACGGGGTTTACAGGAAGCCCTTACAGGAAGTTTCACTCAGAATGAAAGGCAGTTTAAAAAGGTTATTTGAATTTCATATGCATTTACACTTTCATTTTTCTTTCTCTCCTTAGCTGTGACCTTTTAGTGGTAATGATAACATTACTTTCTCTCTTATTATTAACTTACTGTACAATCAAAAGCATTGCTCAATTGGAGAGAATGTATTGTAAAATGTTTCCGGGACTTACACTTTCTTCTGCCAGCATTGTAGAGCTATGTTATTTGAAATACATGCTTTGGCAGCAGTAGAACTATTTGTATTGATAGAACACCAGTGCGGTCGGGTACTCTGTCAGTAAAACAGCAGTTAGGAATTGTCGAAAGCAGTGATGTGTAAAAGTATTGCCACTTGACCAAGTTGCTGAAGTAGAAAACTGTATTTTTTGTCTTTCCTCTCTTTATAACAAATATAGGAGAAAAAGAGCTCTATATTGTTTGTATTTTAGATTTAGATTAGGGCTCCCACTTTTAAAACTTCCAGCTGTACACTGGAACAATTAAAACAGTAAATTCTAGAACTAGAAGAAAGCAGTAGAGTTGCAGTAGTACGCTATGGTAAATTATAATAGGACATGCATCTGTAAAGAATTAAGCATTGCGAAAATTTCAATTCAATCTAGTATCCCTTTAATTGCACTCACAGAGCCACAGTAGGAGGTCCAAAACCAAACATTATATTCTACTGGTGCAATCAACCACAGATTTTAAATGTTGGTCTTTGTTCCAAATGTCTTATTAATTATTAAGTACAGCAATTAAGCCTTGGTCCAAAAGGTCTCAGTCATTTAATTATGTCTAACATGTAGGGCAATGGCCCTCCTGGATTGAAACTGCCTCTCATTTCTCTAGTGCACTGTGTTTTATCCAGGCAGCCTTCACAGTTTTTAAAGGCACAATGTATAATGTAGAACATGATTTTACGAGGAGCAAACACAGCTTCCAGGATACAGACATTAAACCAAGAATGAGGTGAAACATTTCAGCCATCATTCATATGAAAGATGGGCATACTGTACAAATTTCTTGTCTGTGCCTTTTCACACAGCCCAGATCATAATACTATGTAGAAGAAATCAAGTAATACCAGTGGGAACTGTAAATGGTGGACAAACTATGATTTTCCTTTTTAAGCACTCTTTGATAATTGTACTTCGGTTGTATAAAAAAAAGGAAAAACAACATGGATTGTTACATTTGAACATTTTGCTTTTTACTACCATTTTACTATGCTTTATGGTCACGGTCTTAGCAGTACTCAAGTTATTTCGTTTTGAACCCTCAGAGCCTACTAACAGAACAGCTTTAATAATGAACCTTTGAAGAAATATTAGATTCAGTTCCTAATTGTAAGATACTAGGAAAGAGTCTGAAGAGCTTTGCTCGCTTTCTTCCAGTTAAGACTTTCTGGAGACATAAGGTTATCAGTTTTCATTAGTTCAATTGCTTTTTCAAATTGCAAAACCGTCTCCTAGCTTAAATGAAACTATCCACTTGAGAATGTTTTAAAATCTGTAGTACTTTGCTTTTTCAGTGTCTTTAACTTTGTATTGGGCTGTGACTTGAATTATAGAAATAATTATAAGGAAGTCAAATTATTCTTGCTGTTAAACTCTAATAGATCAAGGATTAAAGTACTCTGGGGTGTACTCCACTGGACAACTGATATCTCCGCTCAAACAGCCATGAAAATGTAATGCAGAGACTTTGATTAAATTCTTACCCCAACATATTTGCTCTACTATTCTTATTGTAACAAAAGTAGCTCCTGAGGTGTCAAACACATCACCTGTATCTTTGAAAACATACTGATCTTTTATAAAAGAATATCAAACTAATGTTACAATTCTGCCTCCTATGCTCTAGGATCTTGTTAGTACAATATTAGCCTGCACTAGCTGAGATGCTTTTTCAGTTGGAAACGGTCAGAAATTATCAATTTTCAAACGTTCTGGTTACTGCTGCTTTAATCACTTGCTAAAGCCCATATTGGGTCAGTCTGGGGGCCCCGTGTCACCACTGGCTAAAGTCTTTCAGGTGTGCCTTTTCATCCAGCAAGCAAAACTATCCTCATAAAAGTTTCTTTCTAATTTGTTAATGGTTAGACTTCTTACATTGGATAAGCTTCCAGCTTATAAGATCAATAATGAAATCTGGTTAAATCTGTTTCAACTCTAATTTATATTCCACTCAGACATATTTAGTTTCTAGTTTTATTTTAGCAGCAAAACCAACCACTTGTTATTTAAGTCTTCCTTACAAAAGAAAAACAGAAGGCTGTGCTTGCCCCACCCTTTTATATCTTGAGAAGCAAACTAATCTCTCACAGCTGAGCCTCATCACACAGGAATCCAACTAATCAGCGTTCCCTTTTGCTACCGTTCCTGAAAATGTTTGGAATTTGGAATAGAGCAGAGGAAATGACAGACTTTAGCAAGCAGACTTCTCAAAACTGGTCCAAAATATATTCTCTACATAACCCCACTCTACATGCTTCATTACCAACAGGAAAGTGGAATATAAACATTAATATTTGAGGTTGACAACTAGAAAACACCTTTTTGCCCAGTAGCTGATGAGAATCCAATGGTTTAGAACCCCATAATAGCTGGTCAAGATGAGAGCATATCTTGGCATTTGGGCATCTGTACCTGAAATTAAATTCGGATTCAGGGGGACTACAAAAACTGTGAATGCTGCAAAGAATGATTGTGCATGTGGTAACCTTTGGAAATTTCAGTCAACCTAAAATGTCTTGAAATTATATATAGCTACATGTGCCTTATGTGATGGCACTGGGGTCTTGCAGGTGTGTGTTTTTCATAGATGTTTTTTTAAATGTGTTGTGCTGGCAGATCCGTGTTAAAGAATAAGTTGTCAGATGCCTTCATTATCTGACTGGCACACAAGTGTGGAAAATGCTTGCAAGCAGTTTCAATAAGGCCTGGAGGGTTAAGGAGACTGAATTGCTGTCATGATCTGAAAGAGACCCTCATTAGTGGGTCTGAGCTATGACTGTATGACAGAGTAGGGAAAAAAAGTATAATAACCCCCCTAGTTATTGGTAGAGAAAAATGTACTGTATATAGGAAAGGCTAGCCTCTAACATACAGTAGATGATTTAGACTCATTATGAATCTCAAAGTAAATAGAAAAAAAATCTCATTATAGCTTCTGAACAGGTTGTCACAATGAATTCAAAAGAAAAATAGGACATGAAATTATCAGATTTTTTAAATATACCTAGAATATTTATGTTCACCTTTGAAAACTGACTAAGAAAACAATAATCTTTTCATGCAGACATTCTTCATGAGCTGCACATCAGGGACCATTAATTTATATTCTGGAGAGCAAATCTCTAGTGGGATTTGTATGAGTGAGCATGTGAGCTATTCACTGCAGCACAACTTGCTGAAGGTTAAAAAGAGAAAAAAGGAATGGATTAGCAGGCCTGAATATAAAAAATGTTAGGACTTCTGGAACACTGCATTGTTTCTACATATGCAGTACAAAATATATACTATATATGTAAATAAGATGCAAAATATTAGAAAACCATCCCTCAGTAACTAGAATAATTTATGCTGTGCTTATCTGCAGGCAGTGCAAATGTGATGTCACTGTAAATATTATGTGTCATGATTGAGTCAAGAGATCTCTAGCCTGATAAATATGGGGGATGCTGCAAATTGGGTCAGAATGATAATTGGGGGGAGATAGAAAACGCTGGTGATCTCAGTGACATTGAAAGAGGTGTCATTATCGGCTCTTGACCAGCAAGGGCATCATTAGCAAAGACAGCGGAGCTGTCAGGAAAGGAGAGGAGTACTGTCTCTCAGGCGTACTGTACATAGCATGACTTTCAACACAGAAGACATCAGCATATATGA